GGCACATAATGGGCTCAGGGACTGAACCCCACAATTCATTTAGCTAAGCAAGTTACAATCTTGATGAGCTAGTTACAAAATTCAGTATAAGTCGTCACATCAACAATGGGTTCGAGATCGACCTCAAGTACAGGTTCTAAATTAAGCAACTGACATATGTGGAGAGCTAGTGTCACAATTGATATGTTTGTCCTGCACACCGCCCCCCATCCAGTGGGCAGCGGTGGATAGGTTACAATCACTCAGTTACTACCTACAGTTAGCAAACTGGGGATATTTGGCTAAAATTTCTGGTAGCAGATCATTTTGAATGAAATATTTACACATCGTTGGAACATTGGTTATAGAATTGTCTCTGAATTCACGTATCTTTTCGCACTCCATCACATAGTGACGGAGGGTGTGCGAATAATTTTGTTGACACAGTTTACATTTGGTCAGGTCTACATCAGCAGATAATGAGAATTCCCAGAGATACTTGTAACCGAGTCTAAGCCGAGCAGTAGTAACATCTAGAAGTCTGCTGATTTTATTGGATGATCCGTAGATGTGTGGCTCCTCTTGCATGATAGTATGATGATAGATGGAATTGCTGGTGTCGACTTCACTTTGCCTCAGATCTACAAGATCTTGTTGAAGTTCTCGGTGTACTGCTGCTCTCAGATTGCTCATTGACAATCCAAGGTTACACTCAACGGCTCCTTTAAAGGCAGATTCTTTGGCTAACTTATCAGCTCTATCATGCATTCGGAGGCCAACATGAGATGGAGACCACATGAAATGGACTCTCTTACCATCCTTAATAATTTTGTTGTATTTGTGTCTAGCTACAGACACGAGCATGTTACAGTTATGTCTTAAAGAGTTGAGAGCATTAAGGATGATAAGGAGTCACTTACAATTAATGTATCAAGTTTGGAGACTTGTACACATTTCAGTGCAAGGATCAAGGCAAATAGTTCAGTCTGAAGGGTAGAGGCCCAGTTGTTTATACGGACTCCCCACTCAAAGTACAAGCCATCACCCATTGTCAGGACAACTGCACTTCCAGCACCTACGTGGGAAAGGGTTGCGTAGGCCAATTTTATAGTACCGGCTTAAAGCTGCTCTAGAGTAAATTCTGTCAGGTATAGGTGTAACACCTTTCCATGTGGCAGCTATGAGGCCATTTCTCAGACGTTTAGGGTTTTACAACATTTTCATCACAAAGATATACAGGCTTAATGTGTTTATTAACATTAAATATGACAATGGTCACTTCTGGTGATCTAGGTACTGCATTTTTCACCTTAATACCTGCAGCATACTCTGTGTTTACCAACACATTTACAAGAGCACTGTCGTTTGTAACGTAGACATAGTCACCGTCATCTCTAGGTCATTTAATGGCCTTGTCATAATGTGCCGCAGAGGCTTTACAAAACCACTCCACTTTTCCCTCTACTGTGGTTCCCAGAGGAAAATCTCAGCGTAACTGTTTGGCAGCAGCCGAGGTTGGTGGGTTAGATCATGCCCTTCCCGACTGCTGACGGCGCTGACTTTTACTCATTTGCACCGTGTATCCCTCATCATCTGCACCGTCCTCTGGTGTGTCGCGGGTCACCACTGAGGAGGTGGTACCATCATTAGAGGGCAATTGATCAGCGTACAATGGGTCCCCAGAGTCACTCTCAACAGTTTATCAAATTAACATCACCGTGACCTCAAGAGGCCCTTACACGATGAGTGAGAGCTTGTTAGTTGAGGCAGTTGCAAGACTAATGTGTCCAACATGGCCCCTGCCCCCCCTCACACATCCATCCTGTGAGGCGCTGGCGGAACAGTTGCATCACCTACAAGCAGTACCAACGCCTTTCAAACTTGGGATAATTGGCTAAAATCTCTGGCTTGCCTTACCTTGAGGTTACCTTGAGGTGCTTCCGGGGCTTAGCGTCCCCGCGGCCCGGTCGTCGGCTTGCAGATCATTGTGAATTAAATGCTTGCGTATTTCTTAAACATTTGTGACAGTCTCTAAATTCATTAATTTCTTCAAAACCATAAATAGTGACATAGGGTTTAAGAATAATTTTGCTGACACAGTTTACATTTGGTCATTTCTACATCGCAGGCAATGCTAACTCCCAAAGATACATATAATTATAAGACTCGAGTATACTTATTATAAATTATAACCGAGTCTAAGCCGAACAGCAGAAATATCTAGGAGTCTGTTGATTTTATTGGATGATCCACAGATATGTGGGTCTTCTTTCATGGCAGTGTGACGAGAGGAAAGAAAGCATATTCTTTAGGTACCTCATTATAGCTCCTTCATGCATGTGGATGTCAGCGTGAGACAGAATCCTCGTGACGTTGACACTTGCCATAATTATTAACAGTGAAGTATGTGCCTCCAGCTTCAGTTGTGTTTGTCTACGTTTGTCTTCCCTCACCAATATTATAGTTAGAAAACATGGTAGATTTCTGCTTTATTTATGTAAAGCTTGGCGGTGGGATGGTGTTCAGTGTTGGGATGGTGTTCAGTGCTGGGACGATGCTCAGTGCTGGGATGGTGTTCAGTGCTGGGATGGTGTTCAGTGCTGGGATGGTGTTCAGTGCTGGGACGGTGCTCAGTGCTGGGATGGTGTTCAGTGCTGGGACGGTGCTCAGTGCTGGGATGGTGTTCAGTGCTGGGATGGTGTTCAGTCTTGGGATGGTGTTCAGTGCTGGGACGGTGTTCAGTGCTGGGATGGTGTTCAGTGCTGGGACGATGCTCAGTGCTGGGATGGTGCTCAGTGCTGGGACGGTGCTCAGTGCTGGGATGGTGCTCAATGCTGGGATGCTGTTTAGTGCTGGGATGCTGCTCAGTGCCAGGAAGTAGGATAACCTGGTTGTTGTCTTAGATGTGATGTTCTGAGCACCGTCATTGAGACTGTCTCAGTTTCTCATCGCCATGAGCAACTACACCCTCTCTACACCTAGTTATCTAGATATTTGTGATGGTCTGAAAGCGTATTTCGGTTCCAGTAATAATCTACTTGTAAATTGGCAAGTAAACCTTTATCCTAAACAGAGATGGTTCCTAAATTCTATCTTGATTGTATTATAAATCGTTGGTTTAAAATATAAAAAAGGGTATGCTGGAAACGTTTTCTTTGAAGAATTTGGTTTTCTGTAAAAGGAATTCTTGGGTACACTGAGGTAGTTTTCGAATTATATATTTCACATTATCGTCAGTAATACACTATATTAATATAACCAAACGTAATGAAACCTAACCTAACTAATGAAACCTTAACCTAAAGTAATCTTACCCTAGTCTAACCATGGATAGAAAGTAGATAATAGCACTAATTTTGAAGACGTTCTCAATCCATTCCCGTAAGTGCATTTTCTCTCTGAGAATAAGTTGCGTCGTTGGTTGAATATGAAGACTATGGTAGCCTATTATATTATACGTCTCATAATAGCCTTGTGAGTTTGTATAGTTCATTTATTATGTACTCCGCATAAGCCTGGTGTGTTAGTATAATTCATTTATTATGTACTCCACACAAGCCTGGTGTACAAATCCACAAGGGCCGTGACGAGGATTCGAACCTACGTCCGAGAGCATCCGAGACCCTGCCTTAATCGACTGGCCTATTGACATAGCTCGAGTGCATGGGGGAGTTGTGTAAAACCCTGGTTTGTGTCTCGGAGAGGCTGCAGGATCCAAATAAGTTCAATAGAACTTCTGGTTTCAACTCTTTTGACCATGTCGTAGCTCAGTCGATTAAGGCAGCGTCTGGGATGCTCTCGGACGTAGATTCGAATCCTCGTCACGGCCCTTGTGGATTTGTTCATTTGATGCATCACGCTATTGTGATTTCTGTATGTAAGCCTGGTGTGTTAGTATAGTTCATTTATTATGTACACAACAGTAGCCTGGTGTTAGCCGCACCATTATTCACACCATAGTAGCCTGATGTTAGTTTATGTACTATTATTCATACCATAGTAGCCTGATGTTAGTTCATGTACCATTATTCATACCATAGTAGCCTGATGTTAGTTCATGTACTATTATTCATACCATAGTAGCCTGATGTTAGTTTAGCTGTACTATTATTCATACCATAGTAGCCTGATGTTAGTTTAGCTGTACTATTATTCACACCATAGTAGCCTGATGTTAGTTTAGCTGTACTATTATTCACACCATAGTAGCCTGATGTTAGTTTAGCTGTACTATTATTCACACCATAGTAGCCTGATGTTAGTTTAGCTGTACTATTATTCACACCATAGTAGCCTGATGTTAGTTTAGCTGTACTATTATTCACACCATAGTAGCCTGATGTTAGTTTAGCTGTACTATTATTCACACCATAGTAGCCTGATGTTAGTTTATCTGTACTATTATTCACACTATAGTAGTCTGATGTTAGTTTATGTACCATTATTCACACCATAATAGCCTGGTGTTAGTTAATTCATTCATTATACACTAGTTACTCATCCTGTGAGTGGTTATGGAAAATGCTATAGCATCGTGTGGCCAACCATACTGAGAGTTATGTCCTACGGCTGTGCTGTGGTGAAAAATATAAGAAGATTATACTTTTAATTCCTATAGAACTTTTAATTGGTTTCTGATTAAGTTAGTGTGTTTAATCTGTGGCTTCGTAATTTATGTGATGAGTTATTATTTGGGTGTGAGCGGGTTTATTACTTATTTATGTATATTGATCTCATTAAAATATTTATACAGGTTATAATATAAATTTATGTTCAGTTAGCTTAATAAACTGAGCCAGTCAGTGTCGTAGAACTGGTAGACATTTGAACCAGTACAAGTGTTGCCACAACTCAAGAGTTTTCAAAGTGTTCGGGGAACCCTGTGCAGGGGCTCCACCTTTCCTTGATGGGGCGCCGTGAGGCGTGATACCTGTCAGGTTGAATTAATATCAGTTGACTTTACATGTATTTTACATGAGAGGCTGAGAATTTAAATTCACAGGATGGAATATCTGGCACAGGTGGCTGGCCCGCCGCCCCCTTGCGGCCAGTGAGGAACACCTGCCCGCAGTGTACGCAGCGCCCATGGTGTCCAAGTGACCTCTGATGTATTACGTGAGTTTATTTGAATTTTACGTATAGTTTTATATTTTCCCGGAAGTTATGATTGCTGTTATATGTTATTATATACAGGGTTACCGTGTATTGGCCTTCCCAATACATATTATAGGAATGTTTGATGGTTCAAGTACGTTTATTGAGACAAGATACATCTCAGAAGGATGGAGTAGCTTAGGGTCTTTCTACCCTCCTTATATGACGGTGTTAAAATATAATTGTTGTTGACGTCCCTTTCCGGAGGAATAATTATGTGCTAAGGGGTGGCCAGGATTCATGGAGCATTGTATGCAACCTCTTACAAAACATGTGAGTACATCTTTGTTTAATCATGGCGGCTTTGTTTACATTACCTGAATGTTCAGCAGAGTTTTGGTATTTACGGCTTTAGCGGATAGGCGGTTCCATGGGTTTATAAACCTGTGGGTGATAAAAACACCTGTTTCCAGTGCTACATTGTGGCTTGTTGAGCTTGAACCCGTTGCTCCTTGTTTGTGTTGCATCTGACCTTTTGAAGAAGTTATCTGTATCGACATCATCCAAATTGTTCAGTATTTTGAACGTTTCGATGAGATCCGCCGTGTAATGTCTAGTTTGCAGTGTTGTTAGTCCTGTGGCCCTCAACCTGTCCTGGTATGAGAATTGACCGAGTCAACTTTCATAGTAAATTTACTTAACAGTTTGTGAGCTTAGAAGGACTACATGGCTGTTGGGCAAGTTGCTGCTACTGTTGGTACAGTACTTACATATCTGTAAATACTAGCCTTGTATGGTTGCGTTATAATTTAACTACAGTGACATTCGAATTCTTTGTTGAATCTGGCCTTGAAGATGTGGATGGAGGTGGCTTCCACGCCTTCTTATGTCAGTGTATTCCACTTGTTGACTACGCTCCAAGTGAACGGTACCTCTTTGTACAAAGCATTACAAGCACGTCGCCGCCTCTATTCCGCTACCTAAAGGAGAAATTTGAAGGCTGAAATAAAATTCTGTTTGATAAAGTTGTTAAAAATTGTGTTTATTAGGCAATGGTGGAATGATTTGTGCGTAGCGTCTACAGGTGCTCGCCTTTATTGTTATTTTCTGTTACAATAGTAATTCACCAAGCGTATATATTAACGTTGGAAATAAATTTTGTTTGTCTCTTGCACTTAGCTATTTGTTTTACCGGTTATTTAAGTAATTTAAGCATGGCGTCGAAGGTTTAATATTTTTGTATCAAATACTTTGTCGTGTTTTGCTTGTATTATTGCTATCAGAGAACATTGTTGTTGTTATTATTATTATTGCTGTTGTGATCTCAGGAAATATTATAGCCTTGTCTGACTGGTTCTTCAGTTACTGCCAGTGTTGCTCAGCGTCCTCAGGTCACAACAGACGGTCCTGTGTTCGATTCCCGTACCGGACAGACACCTTGGGCAACGTTTACTTTCACCTAAAGCCTCTGTGTATCTGGAAGTATTTATAGGTACCTGGGAGTTAGGAAACTGTTTTAGGTTCCATTCCGTGGAAAGCCTGTATAATATAGTTGGCCTAGACTGCATGCAGCGTTTCTCAATCGGGGTTTCGCAAGAGGTCACAAGGGATTCCATAGGTTACAAAGGGTTCCACAGGTCACAAAGGGTTCCACAAGTCACAAGGGAGTTCCACAAGAGGTCATAAGGGAGTTCCTAAGGAGGTTATAAGGGCTTCCGCGAGAGATAGTGATAAATAAACTAATGCTAATCATATGAAATTCAAAGACAGAAATTGTCTCCTTTCACTTGAAAATTAAATCTGTTTTCACATAAGCAAATTTAATTATCCCAATTAGTTTAAAAAATAACATTGTCTTGACTTAACTTTTTGATTTTTTCAACATTAAGTTTATTTTTTGTTTACAGATATGGTTTATTTTTTGTGATTAATAAATATATATTTTTGAGATTAATAAATATATATTAACGAGATTAATAAATATATATTTTTGAGATTAATAAATATAGATATTATATAATAATTTTTATGCAGTGGTTCCTCGAGATATGAAAGTTATTTCAAGGGATCCATAAGGGTAAGAAGGTTGAAAAATGCTGGACTAGAGGGACCTCGACAAGCCGTACAGGCTTGTTGTCTCCTATGGGGGAACCATAAAGGAAGACAAGTAATTGCTCCCACCTGTACATGGGATCATTGGTTACAAAATGTCAACCGTATTTTAACGGCTTCTTGGGCAAGGTTCCAATACTGTTTTTGTTTATTGAAGATGGCGGTTCCGAGGCTTCAAAAAAATAAAAAAATACCCTTGCCGGGTATAAGAATTATAGTAATACGATATAATTAACCTATTATATCGGTACTGTTGATAACATAGTCGATATGCCTGCTGGAAATGAGTCACAATAACGAGACTGAAGATATGGTAACCAAACCACACATACCAGAATGGGAACCAACGATGACGTTTTGGTCCGTCCGACCCCGGCAGGTGGTGTACCTGACATCCTTAGTCGTATTGGTCACATGTCTGTAACACTTTGGTTTTTTGGTCACATTCCATTAGGGAAGGATCCCTGTTAGTGCAAATGACAAGCTTTCAGGAATCTTCATATTGTTGAAGGCTAGTATTGTAAATCATTTAATAGGTTTCTTTAAGAATTCCAATATGTTAGCTTATTGATCGTTGAGTATTGTTATTCATTAAGCTTATAAATAAATTACGTAATTATGTCAAGTTATGCCCGAAAAGCTCTGCGTTAATTTATGGACATTATACAAATTACATTGTGTACTCTCCATACTCTACGTATCATGTTTCAGATGTATTTATATAAATACAATTATTATTATTATTGCGAAAATCAATAGGAGCTATGAGGAAGATTCAAACCCGCACACTTGGTGGAGCAATGCAAATTAGGATTCCATTGACTTTTCTATGGTTCCTGAGGCTTCCACTGAAGCCTTATCAGAGTTTTATGCACTGCCTCCATGCACAAAGTCTCTAAAACAGTTGGTATACTCTCCAAAATCAGATATTATGTACCTAACTCTGCTCTCATCTCTCTATATTATGCACTAATCTATCCCTATCTCAACTATGGTATCTGTGCATGGGGTTCAACCACTGCAAACCACCTCAAGTCCATCATCACCCAGCAAAAATCTGCTATCAGAATAATATCAAATTCTGCTTTCAGACAACACTCAGCCCCCTTGTTTAACTCGCTAAACATGCTAAACATAATCTCACTCCATAAATACTCTTGTGCCAACTACATTTACAAAACCCTGTTCTTAAATGCAAATCCTGCTCTGAAACTCTTCCTGGACAGATGTAATAGGACCCATTATCACCACACCAGAAATAAATATCTCTTTGATATCCCCAGAGTTAAACTTAATCTGTGTAAACACTCTATGCAAATAAAGGGACCCAGTTTATGGAACTCACTCCCTATTGAATTGAAAAGCTGTCCAACTTTTACATCATTCAAAATCAATACTAAAAAGTACCTAATTTCATCTTCATAGTTTTTCACTTTTTGCCTTAAAATTGCACTGTATCTATTGCTACCCAATCTCCCAACCTTTATGTTCTCAATTTGAACATCTTTACTATTGTGATCATTGCTGTCTTATATGTGCTGCCAATCTGCTGTATGGTGTCTATTAATCTTGTTTAAATTACTAATCAAGATGTCAATGTAATCAATCAGAGCTTTAATATAACAATGTGCTTTAATATACTTACTAAGCTCTCTCATCTCATTTTTCTCTTGCAATGTATCTTTATCATTTATCAATTCTGATAGAAATTACCTACTTAAAATTATCTGTTAGATTAAGGACCTGCCCGAAACGCTGCGCGTACTAGTGGCTTTACAAGAGTGTAAATACTGTACTATCCAATGTATTCTCACAAACCCAATGTACCCTCTTGTATATAAATAAATAAATAAATAAATAAATAAATAAATAAATAAATAAATAAATAAAAAGTGTTGGGGGGTACCAACAGGTATCAAATTGGGTTCGAATCTTCCTCATGGCACCTACTGATTTTCTCATTGATACATCACGTTAATGTGATTTCATTGTCCATTATTATTATTATTATTATTATTATTATTATTATTATTATTATTATTATTATTGTTTCAAATTGTAATAGGACTATCTTACCGTTTACCAAACAATCTCCTTTGCATTATATTTCAGGGCTCATGCACTCTTATTAGGTTCAGTGAGGTTAGATTTAATTTAGTTAGATTTAGCCGAGCGCGACCGTCAGTCACACCGTTTTTTCCTCATTACAGTTTAGTTTATTTAGTTTATTGTGGAGCATGATTCCACCCATCCTGTGGGCGGTGGGAAGAAAGGTTCACATCCACAATGGGTTAAGCAACTGGACCCCAATATATTGTTTAAGCTAAGCAATTTACATTCATGGTGAACTAGTTACAAGTTACTCTTCCCTCAGATATATGGTCAACTTACAAGATATTAGTCTAATTATAGGACTGTAGTTAATGTTACAGAATATGGTCATGATATAAGCAAGTAAGAAACTCAGAGGCAGTGCGAGCTTACATACATGATAAGAACTATCTACAATAGGCAGGCTTGGGAACAGCCTATCCCCAGCCTAAGTCATAAATATTAATACAATGCTCTTGTTCAAAATTCAACTAGAAACAATCTTCGGGAATAATGGGGCATCTTTGACAGCTTCCGGTCCCCGTCTAGGCCACTGAAGATGGTGGCTTTCACACATGAACAGTTCTTTGAACATTAATTATAGAACTGTCACTAAATTCTTGGATTATTTTTCCATATTGAGGTATATGGTGACGTACTCGTAGATTGCGTGAATATTTTGTTATAAAGTTTACTTGGGTTACATCAGTACCTGCTGCTATACCTCCGGGATATATTAGGCTACATGTAACTCTAAGAGGTATTTGTAGCCAAGTCTAAGCCTAGCAGTGGTAACTTGTAGACGGCTGCTCACCTTATTAAGTGACACATGTAAGTGCCTCTCTCTACATAGTAGTAGTATGATGATGGAACAGTTAGTGTAAATAATATCATCTAAGGTATATTTATAGGCAGTCCAAGGAAGGTGATTATCAACTCTCACCTTAGGAGCGTATGCACAAACTTATCTGCTGTATCACAACAGAAAAATGAATTTAGCGAATCTAAATAATTCATCAGTGGTGGAAGCTTTTATCACTAGGATTACCGTCTCGGTATTGGTATAATTAACCTAACGCTACATGAGAGTGGTAAGTGTTATATATTAACACGCTACATTACATAAGGTTAATAATCAGTATTATCTACACACGTAGGTATCATCCGCGAGGTCATAACACTGAACACAGAGTTGTGGTGGCGGACTTGGGAAACCGGGGCGAAATGTTGGTATAGGTCACACTGGTGTGGTGCGTCGCAGTGGATGGTGGTAGTGGTGGTGCGGAGAGAGAGGCCCGGCACTGCCGTTGTTATGGGGTTCTTGTGGGTAAGAACCCTTGACGGTATGGTTGCTGTCCTCTCTCTTTTCTCCCGCTTGCTGAAGCTGCTGACGGTGGCGCTGTGGGTGTTGGTAGCATTTGGGGTGGTAGCACGGCTGGGGTAGGGTTGGGGAGGTGCAGGTAAGGCGTGTGGGTGAGGCATGGCTCTGAGGACTGGCCACGGGCAGGCAGAAAGAAGTGCTGTTGGCTGCTGGTATTGCAGGCACGGACATGGCAACTTTGTGGATTTGGCTGCAGAGCATGGAAGCTTTGGGGTTGTCTGCTGCTTCATTGTCATCAGGCCAGCAGCAGCAGCAACAGCAGCAGGAGTCGCAGTAGGTGCAGCAGGCAGGGCACGACCCTCCCCCAGCTGTGGCCAGCAGACCCAGGCCTGGAGAAGTGCCATAATGGCGTGTCCCCCTACCTCGAGGTACGGAGTTGTACCTCCAGACCTCCTTCGCCGGCAGAGTGACTCCCTCCATGGAGATGCCTCTGGGTAGTGTGATTCCTTCCATAGAGGCACCTCTGGATAGCGTGACATCCTCCATAGAGGCGCCTCTGGATTGCGTGATTCCCTCCATAGAGGCGCCTCTGGATAGTGTGACTCCCTCCATAGAGGCGCCTCTGGATAGTGTGACTCCCTCCATAGAGGCGCCTCTGGATAGCGTGACTCCCTCCATGGAGGCGCCTCTGTGTAGTGTCATTTCTTCCATAGAGGTGCCTCTGGACAGTGTGAGTCCCTCCATGGAGGTGCCCATAGACAGCGACATGCCCCTCCCATGTTGGTGGGCAGCCCATGGGAGGTTGGCACTCATCTTTTGGTTAGAACGGGGCAGAGTGCCGCCCCCAGTAACCCCATCGCCCCACCACACCTCGCGGGGAAGGTCTGAGAGAGAGCGTCCCCCACCACCCCCCCGCCCACATGTAGGAGGAGTCGGTGTCATGGGCGGAGCTGAGGCAGCCCATACCGGGGAGTCACTACGCTCCTCCTGTGACCCACTGGAGTGGCGGTGCTGCCTCGGCTCGTGGTGGAGGTGCTGTTGTTGGTACTGTTGCTGTTGTTGGTGGAAGTGCTGCTGCAGCTGATAGTGTTGCTGCTGGGGGTATAGCGTGTTGCGAGGGCTTGAGACGTGGTTATGGTCGGGGTAATGGTTGGGGGCATGGTTGTGGTGGAGTGCGTCTGGGTACTGGTCCACGGCCACATACTCCAACATGTAGCCACCACCACACCTGTCAACACAACGCCACCATTAATAAATATAATAATATAAAACACACACATTGTATTTTTCTGTGCTTGAAGGAAACACACGTTAGAATGGGGGACTTATTTTAATAATAACTTTAAAGTTACAAGTAATAAATTCTTAAGTATATATAGTTACATGTACTAATATGGTAACTATTATATAGTAAATAAAGTAACTTACAATAAGTTACAAGTAAACAATTCTTAAGTATATATAGTTACATATACAAATATGGTAACTATTAAGTAATAACTAAAGTAACTTGACATAGTAACTTATATAGTAACTACATAATAGTTACTAATTAAATATAGTTACAGGTAAATTCTGAATTGTTACTAAGTACAATTTAAAGATAAGCTTAGTAGATTTGCATGTACTTATAAACGTCCAGCTTTCCCATGACCCATATTTGTGCAGAGTGACTTGAAGCCTTAAACATTGGCTTGTATAATGAAGTGTTAGATGAGTTAGGGGTATATTAACTAAGCTATGCAACTACGTCTACTGCCAGTAGCTGAACATATCACTGTGGGGGGGGGGGGGTTTCCGACGGAGCACCCCCCCCCAGGAAAGGAGGGAGGCCTCGAACCCCGCCCCGCCCCCACAGTAAAAACACATTGTATTATCAGTCACCAAACCCGCACATGACACGCCTGATCTCATCGAAATGTTTAAAATATTGAAATTAGAAGATATTAATCCAGACTAATTCTTTAAAATGTCGTATGTAACACTGTTATGTTATATATGTGACTGCCGACGTTTATTATTATATATGGTATTATTTTTATATGCAAAGAACATCAGCATATGTTCTAGTTTCTTAAATTCTTTATTCAGGTTTAGTTATTTTTTTTGTATGAGTACCGGGAGAGGGTATAGCGTGTTGATATAAGTTGGTAGTGTGTAGTTGAGGTGTTGGGTTGGGCTAGCAAGTATGTTTATTGAGATAAGCAATAAATACATTTCAAAGGGATAGAGTAGCTTAGGCTATTTCTACCCCCCCTATTGGGCTAGCTGCCTGCCTTCAATGGTGGGAGGTATTATGTAGAGTGAGGAGGGAAGGTTGTGTGCTCTGATGTCCTAGTGGGATTACACCGTTTGTAGCCTATGTCGGGTAAGGTAAGACAGCGATTATTGGAGGAGGAGTGTCTTGTTTCTTACCTGAGCGGGGGGGGGGGGAGGGGGGGATCATATCGTTTGTGCTGACCTGGGGTTGGAGAGTGGTGCGGGCAGGGTGCGGGAGATGTGGTGGGGGTGGTGGTGGTGGTGGAGGGAGCGAGGACTGGTCCTCACCCTCACCTCACACTTCTCTCGCCACTCACGCTGCAGAGGAGAAGAACACATCTTAGTTATTACACCTTGGTCAACACTATTATTGTGAGGGCGTGGACACCTTGGTCAACACTATTATTGTGAGGGCGTGGACACCTTGGTCAACACTATTATTGTGAGGGCGTGGACACCCTTGGTCAACACTATTATTGTGAGGGCGTGGACACCCTTGGTCAACACTATTATTGTGAGGGTGTGGACACCTTGGTCAACACTATTATTGTGAGGGCGTGGACAACCTTGGTCAACACTATTATTGTGAGGGTGTGGACACCTTGGTCAACACTATTATTGTGAGGGCGTGGACAACCTTGGTCAACACTATTATTGTGAGGGCGTGGACACCTTGGTCAACACTATTATTGTGAGGGCGTGGACACCCTTGGTCAACACTATTATTGTGAGGGCGTGGACACCCTTGGTCAACACTATTATTGTGAGGGCGTGGACACCCTTGGTCAACACTATTATTGTGAGGGCGTGGACACCTTGGTCAACACTATTATTGTGAGGGTGTGGACACCTTGGTCAACACTATTATTGTGAGGGCGTGGACAACCTTGGTCAACACTATTATTGTGAGGGTGTGGACACCTTGGTCAACACTATTATTGTGAGGGTGTGGACACCTTGGTCAACACTATTATTGTGAGGGTGTGGACACCTTGGTCAACACTATTATTGTGAGGGCGTGGACACCCTTGGTCAACACTATTATTGTGAGGGCGTGGACACCTTGGTCAATACTATTATTGTGAGGGCGTGGACAATCTTGGTCAACACTATTATTGTGAGGGCGTGGACACCTTGGTCAACACTATTATTGTGAGGGCGTGGACAACCTTGGTCAACACTATTATTGTGAGGGTGTGGACACCTTGGTCAACACTATTATTGTGAGGGCGTGGACACCTTGGTCAACACTATTATTGTGAGGGCGTGGACAACCTTGGTCAACACCATTGGTCGTCACGATCCCTAACACTACTGTAGGAAGGTGTTCCTTGTCCCAGTACAAGAAGAGGATGATATCCATTGTGCTAGCAGAGGAACACACACCTTGTACCAGTAGAGGAACACACCTTGTACCAGTAGAGGAACACACCTTGTACCAGTAGAGGAACACACCTTGTACCAGTAGAGGAACACACCTTGTACCAGTAGAGGAACACACCTTGTACCAGTAGAGGAACACACCTTGTGCCAGTAGAGGAACACACATACCTTGTGCCAGTAGAGGAACACACACACCTTGTGTCAGTAGAGGAACACACACACCTTGTGCCAGTAGAGGAACACACACCTTGTGCCAGTAGAGGAACACACACCTTGTGCCAGTAGAGGAACACACACACCTTGTGCCAGTAGAGGAACACACACACCTTGTGTCAGTAGAGGAACACACCTTGTGTCAGTAGAGGAACACACACCTTGTGTCAGTAGAGGAACACACACACCTTGTGCCAGTAGAGGAACACACACCTTGTGCCAGTAGAGGAACACACACACCTTGTGTCAGTAGAGGAACACACACACCTTGTGTCAGTAGAGGAACACACACACCTTGTGTCAGTAGAGGAACACACACACCTTGTACCAGTAGAGGAACACACACCTTGTGCCAGTAGAGGAACACACACCTTGTACCAGTAGAGGAACACACACCTTGTGCCAGTAGAGGAACACACACACCTTGTACCAGTAGAGGAACACACACACCTTGTGCCAGTAGAGGAACACACACACCTTGTGCCAGTAGAGGAACACACACCTTGTGCCAGTAGAGGAACACACACCTTGTGTCAGTAGAGGAACACACCTTGTGTCAGTAGAGGAACACACCTTGTGTCAGTAGAGGAACACACACCTTGTACCAGTAGAGGAACACACCTTGTGTCAGTAGAGGAACACACACACCTTGTGTCAGTAGAGGAACACACACACCTTGTGCCAGTAGAGGAACACACACACCTTGTGCCAGTAGAGGAACACACACACCTTGTGCCAGTAGAGGAACACACACACCTTGTGTCAGTAGAGGAACACACACCTTGTGCCAGTAGAGGAACACACACACCTTGTGTCAGTAGAGGAACACACACACACACACACCTTGTGCCAGTAGAGGAACACACACCTTGTGTCAGTAGAGGAACACACACACCTTGTGTCAGTAGAGGAACACACACACCTTGTGTCAGTAGAGGAACACACACCTTGTGTCAGTAGAGGAACACACACACCTTGTGTCAGTAGAGGAACACACACACCTTGTGTCAGTAGAGGAACACACACACCTTGTGCCAGTAGAGGAACACACACACCTTGTGCCAGTAGAGGAACACACACACCTTGTGCCAGTAGAGGAACACACACACCTTGTGTCAGTAGAGGAACACACCTTGTGTCAGTAGAGGAACAACACACCTTGTGCCAGTAGAGGAACACACACCTTGTGCCAGTAGAGGAACACACACCTTGTGTCAGTAGAGGAACACACACACCTTGTGCCAGTAGAGGAACACACACCTTGTGTCAGTAGAGGAACACTCACACCTTGTGTCAGTAGAGGAACACACACCTTGTGTCAGTAGAGGAACACACACACCTTGTGCCAGTAGAGGAACACACACCTTGTGTCAGTAGAGGAACACACACACCTTGTGCCAGTAGAGGAACACACACCATGTGCCAGTAGAGGAACACACACCTTGTGTCAGTAGAGGAACACACACACCTTGTGTCAGTAGAGGAACACACACCTTGTGTCAGTAGAGGAACACACACACACCAGTAGAGGAACACACCTTGTGTCAGTAGAGGAACACACACACCTTGTGTCAGTAGAGGAACACACACCTTGTGTCAGTAGAGGAACACTCACACCTTGTGCCAGTAGAGGAACACACACACCTTGTGCCAGTAGAGGAACACACACACCTTGTACCAGTAGAGGAACACACACACCTTGTGCCAGTAGAGGAACACACACACCTTGTGCCAGTAGAGGAACACACACACCTTGTGTCAGTAGAGGAACACACACACCTTGTGCCAGTAGAGGAACACACACACCTTGTGTCAGTAGAGGAACACACCTTGTGTCAGTAGAGGAACACACACCTTGTGCCAGTAGAGGAACACACACACCTTGTGTCAGTAGAGGAACACACACACCTTGTGCCAGTAGAGGAACACACACACCTTGTGTCAGTAGAGGAACACACACACCTTGTGAACACACACACCTTGTGTCAGTAGAGGAACACACACCTTGTGTCAGTAGAGGAACACACACACCTTGTGTCAGTAGAGGAACACACACACCTTGTGTCAGTAGAGGAACACACACACCTTGTGCCAGTAGAGGACACACACACACCTTGTGTAGAGGTCAGTAGAGGAACACACACACCTTGTGTCAGTAGAGGAACACACACACCTTGTGCCAGTATAGGAACACACACCTTGTGTCAGTAGAGGAACACACACCTTGTGTCAGTAGAGGAACACACCTTGTGTCAGTAGAGGAACACACCTTGTGTCAGTAGAGGAACACACACACCTTGTGTCAGTAGAGGAACACACACACCTTGTGCCAGTAGAGGAACACACACAACACAGTAGAGGAACACACACCTTGTGTCAGTAGAGGAACACACACCTTGTGTCAGTAGAGGAACACACACACCTTGTGTCAGTAGAGGAACACACACACCTTGTGTCAGTAGAGGAACACACACACACACCTTGTGTCAGTAGAGGAACACACACCTTGTGTCAGTAGAGGAACACACACACCTTGTGTCAGTAGAGGAACACACACACCTTGTGTCAGTAGAGGAACACACACCTTGTGTCAGTAGAGGAACACACACCTTGTGTCAGTAGAGGAACACACACCTTGTGTCAGTAGAGGAACACACACCTTGTGCCAGTAGAGGAACACACACCTTGTGTCAGTAGAGGAACACTCACACCTTGTGTCAGTAGAGGAACACACACCTTGTGTCAGTAGAGGAACACACACACCTTGTGTCAGTAGAGGAACACACACCTTGTGTCAGTAGAGGAACACACACCTTGTGTCAGTAGAGGAACACACACACCAGTAGAGGAACACACACACCTTGTGTCAGTAGAGGAACACACACCTTGTGTCAGTAGAGGAACACACACCTTGTACCAGTAGAGGAACACACACACCTTGTGCCAGTAGAGGAACACACACACCTTGTGTCAGTAGAGGAACACACACCTTGTGCCAGTAGAGGAACACACACACCTTGTGTCAGTAGAGGAACAACACACACCTTGTGTCAGTAGAGGAACACACACCTTGTGCCAGTAGAGGACACACACACACCTTGTGCCAGTAGAGGACACACACCTTGTGTCAGTAGAGGACACACACAACACACACCTTGTGTCAGTAGAGGAACACACACCTTGTGCCAGTAGAGGAACACACACACCTTGTGCCAGTAGAGGAACACACACACCTTGTGTCAGTAGAGGACACACACACCTTGTGTCAGTAGAGGAACACACACCTTGTCAGTAGAGGAACACACAGTAGAGAGGAACACACACACCTTGTGTCAGTAGAGGAACACACACCTTGTAGAGGAACACACACACCTTGTGTCAGTAGAGGAACACACACACCTTGTGTCAGTAGAGGAACACACACACCTTGTGTCAGTAGAGGAACACACACACCTTGTGTCAGTAGAGGAACACACACACCTTGTGCCAGTAGAGGAACACACACACACACACCTTGTGTCAGTAGAGGAACACACAACACACACACCTGTACCAGTAGAGGAACACACACACCTTGTGTCAGTAGAGGAACACACACACCTTGTGTCAGTAGAGGAAACACACACCTTGTGCCAGTAGAGGAACACACACCTTGTGTCAGTAGAGGAACACACACACCTTGTGCCAGTAGAGGAACACACACACCTTGTGCCAGTAGAGGA